AAAGGAAAATTGACAACCTAAGTAGCTTGGGACAATAAGACACTCTTCTTTCGGAAGGTAGAGTGTTGGGGTGCTAGCAATACCCCACCGGAAGGACACGAGACTCCTTCTGGAATTCCAATTTTGGACGGGCGTCATTTTTTTATAAAGGTTATTAATTGTTAATTTGACCGACTCCCCTAAATCTACTAACATTTTCTCTTTAGAAGAACTCTGCTCTTCTTCAACCAAAACTCTGAGTTCTTCACTTGTTTTAGTTTGTCCCCCTATTTTATTAATGTTTTAGTGCTCAAACTTTAAATTGTAAATTCGTTTTTATCATGGAAACCTAGACTACAATGCTCCTAGCACCTTGAGAGGTATCAAATAATTAAGGTTTTAAGGAAAGTGTGATTATCACACGACTCAAATTTGAAAACTCGAACCTTTTGTTTTTTGTATTTTCAAATTATTTCCAACAAGCTTAAAACCGTATCTTATTTCCTTATTTCCCATAGTAAAAAATGTCTTTCCCAAATTTTCCAGTTAATAGTGGGGATAACAATAACAACCGTGGTGAGAATGGCAATGAAGTTGCACATCCCAAAACCCAAGAGATGGTGGCTTCTAAGGATATATTCTTACGATGCAAGTTGATAAATAATCTTATTTTATCTTATATTTCACCCTGTTCTTAACCCCTTTTTATGCTCAATTTAAAGTGTTTTATTGGATTTTCGAACTAAAAGATGTGTTTTATGCTCAATTTCATCCAATTGCACTTTGGAGAGAGAAATTATCAAAAGGAAACAAAAGTATATCAAAAAGGAGAAAAAAAACATTAAAAAGCGCACAAAAAAGTAGACTGGGAAGATGGCGCGCAAAATGAGCAAAGCCAGAGACCTTGGAGTGGAGGCGAATGCACACATAGGCAACTGCACGCCCGTGCGTAGCCAGTACATAAAAGACATGCATGCTAGAACTGGCATTCCGCACGGGTGTTGCAAGCCCGTGCCATGCCAGTGTGCTCGCACAGCCAATCACACGCCCGTGTGACGCCAATGCGTCGAACTCTGGAGCTGCACTATAAATTCTTCCTTTTCCAGATCAAAAAAGAAACAACAACAATAGGTCGGGCATATAATAGTTCTCTCTAAAAATCCTAGATAGGTTTAACTTAGATTTTACTCTTTTCTTGGGAAGAAATTGTGCTATTTTTCATTCTACACTTTTGGATTTGGGTGGATTTTCCCTACTTCAACTTAGATTATACAATAGAGAAGTTTTCCTTCATTTATCTTGCTTTGATTTATGTTATGTTGCTATTAAATGTGTTTTATTTATGTGTTTTATGATCTACAATTCTGAGTAGTAAGTTTAGGGGTTTGGATTAAGGTTCTCTTGCTACCCATGTGCTTAAATATGTTAATCTTGTATTTAGTCGTCTGATTGCAAGGCTTCAAAGAAGAATAATAGGAATTCTCAAGCTAATGTGTGTGGTTGAGCGGAGTAGTCAGAAAGAGGGTGAGATTAACCTTTTAGGTGAGTGAGGTGAACCTTGTGGGCTCGAACCAGTGCAAGTGATTCATCAACACTAGTGGAACAAGGTATCTTTGTTGCAATTGTGAGTTGTTTAGCACCTTCTAGATCAAGAATGGCGAGAAGGTGTGAATGATAAATTTACTCAATCTGAAACTATATGTATTTTAATTTTTAAATAGGGAAAATTGTACTTTTTGGCCCTAAGTTAAAGAGTAATTGTAGAATTCGTCCCTAAGTTATCATTGATGTTGCATTTTTCGTCTCCTTGCTAATAAAACATTAGGGACGAAATTTGAAATTTTAATATAACTCGGGGACGAAAAGTGAGCACGAAAGGATGAAAAGTGCAACGCCAATGATAACTTAGGGACGAAAAGTGAGCATGATTAACACTTAAAAATAAATTATACAATTATCCTATAACTTAGGGACGAAAAGTCCAATTTTCTCATTTAAATACGAGTCCGGTTCCAGTCCTTATTTAGAAGAATTTGAACCGGAAACGTCCCCACAAACCGGGCAATGCCAGAGCGAACCGAGAGTATATAATTTTTTCTCTTTAATTCGAATCCCAATCTCTGAACAGATTTCGAGCAGAAGGGAAACGCGACGGAGATGAGTGAAAGAGCAGTACCCAGAAGGGAGAGTCCATGGGGTTTACCAGAAAGCGACACAAGACAGCCAAAGCCTCACCGATGCAACGACCGTGCTGAGGATGTCATCCAAGTAATTCATCTTCCTCCTTAAACCCTCTTTAAATCTTTGCCTTCTTTCTGTTTGTTGAAATGCTTGACTGAAATTCTTTGGTTTCCCAGATTTTTTTTGGATTCCTTTTTCCAATATATGCAATGTTTTTTATGGGTGCATTTTGTTTATTGTTTGGATTTGGGATTGGGCGTCTGTAGAGTGGTAAAACCAAGTGCTTGACATTCCAAATTTCCAATTGTTACACCATGTACCAGGGATCACCTTACAACATTCAAATTATGTGACTAGTTAAAATCAATTAATAAACTATCTATCTATTACAATTGATTAACATAGTATGGATCTACAGTTAAAATATTATGTCGCCACAGTTAATAAATTATGTGGCATACATAATCTAAATGTCATTTTGAACCAGGGTCCATAGTTGGTCCATGGTATAATTTGCCTTGACATTCCTTGTTCTAGTTGGGAAGAATACTCAGTTCATGAAAAAGGAATAAAAAGGTATTCTTTATGTTAATAGCTTTAGGCCGGATTGTAATTTCGAAGGGTTAAAAATATACATGTATTTGTAAAAAGGGAACTGTAAATCAATTAAATTCTTGCTCTCTTGTTCATCACCAAAAGAGAAGTTATAAAATGAACTGTTTTCATACATCTATAAGGCTATAACATTGAAGTGCCTGTTTGCACACAATCAAAATAAGTCACTTTTGTTTTTTCATCATTAGCCACAACTTGACCAATTAGTTCTTAATCCAATCAAACTTCTACATCTTCCCCGACCCTCCTGGAAAGCATTTAACTAAATTAAAGAGGAGAAAATATTGTGAATGGAAGATTGGAAGGCATTGAATAATGCACGAGTGGGAAGGCGGAAGTAACTTTGATACTTTGGAACCATTGCATATTTGATGGGTTTGTTACAGGAGTTGATGGATGTTGTGTGCTGTGACTCACTGACTCTTTACTTGTTCTAGTAGTCCTAAGAAGTTTAGTAGTTAAGTTGTTTTGTTTCATTGGCTAGTTCAATGATCTGGTGGACATTTCACTTTATGTTGTGATCCTTACACTGCATACTGCTGATTAGTGTGAAAACAGAATGAAAATCCAATAACCCTTCGTTGAATTGGCCAGGGGATGCCTCCCCCTAAGATGTAGCCCGAACAAGTTAAAACATTAAAAGTGATGTTATGGATTAATTAAATATAAAAATGGAAGTTTGGAATGAATTTTGGAAAGGATCTGCCCATCTTCTATAATCTACTCAACTAAAATGTATGATTTAAAGGAAGAATTTCAACCATGAAAGCTACTGTATCCTTCATCCCTCACAGTTATGCAATTTAATAATTCTTCATTAGTGCCTATTATAGTATATTTTAGAAGTTCTTTGTGTAATTTTATTATCTTCAGATGTCTTAAAGCTATTTAATTGTTTAGACGTTTCTATGGGGCCATGGATTCTAGATTATCTTGGCTTGCTTTAAAAGTATGCTTCTTCTGCCTTCTACCATTTGTCTAATACATTAACATTTTTTTTTTTTGGGTCAAAATTCTGCAGGCATGTTTTGAAGGGAACCCGTTCAAAACAGTTCCTGGTCCTTTCAAGTTGTTCTGGCAGTGTATGCGTTCTAAGCCTGGGTATGATAATCAATCTTTCTGCACGTGAGTTGAATTTTCATGAAGTTGCTCATTTTTGTTTCTTTGAGATTGTTCAAGTTTTGTTAACAGTCTTACAATGGTTCCCAATTTATTACATCAGCATATTAGGACATGAAAAAATATTGATAAAGAGGTGCATGGACCATGTATCCTTCAGCAAAGAGGAAAAATTGGAATCTTTTCTTCAATTATTCTTGAAAGGGTTATGGACCTAGTAGCATAAGGAAGTTTAAAACTTTCCTTGAAGCCGTCAAACACTTTCACGTACATGATACAACACATGTTCTAGTGTGGACCTAATAGAAATAAGGAAGTTTAAAACATTCCTCGAAGCCATCAAACGCTTTTTCATACAACAGTACAACACATTACACATGTTCTAGCGTGGAACTTATAGAAATACTCAATAAGAAAGTTTAAAATTTCCTTGAAACTGTCGGACACATTTTGCAATTCTTCTAAAATCATTTTATTGTGGCAAGAATGTGATGATCTGTGTGCATGGCTAGCTGTTGAGAAGGATCTTCCTTATCTTTAAGCTTTTATACTTGAGTGCCCTTCTAAAATTAGACTGAACTGTGATGTAGTATGTGTACTTGAATAACAAGGATAATAGAGAGATATATGAGGAGGTTCAACTTGAAACTCCGAATTGGGCCCGGTGGAAGATAGCTAAGTTGAAACTTGAAAGTATGCGTACTACTGATATCATGAACTTGAACTCCTTTGTGATTAATTTTTCATTTGGTTTGCAGGGAAGAGCCCACGGAGCCATTCACTTATCTGCAGTTAGATCCACCGAAGAGGGAAGTAAAACTTGAGTGAAGCGTCTTCTAAACTCAAGTTGATATTAGAGTCTTTTCCTTCCTCTGCCCCAATCCTTGTCTATGACAAGGTTTCTGTACCAAAAATACTGAATACACTATTGTCTTGTTTCTATTATCAGTAAAATGTCATTTTCACAATTTTGAGCAATAAAGATTCCCAGTATCAAGAATTCCTAGTGTTTCACTTCTATTTGTTCATATATATATGTATAAATGAGAATAAAAACAACAGCAATCCTCCCCCCTCCCCTTTCTCCCAACAAGTTACTGAAGAAGTTGACAACTTAATGACTCTTATTCATGATTTCATTTTGTTGTTGAACATTCATGTTTGATTGAATCTACAATGTACAAATCATTCTCTTCCCAAGAAGAAACAGAAACCATTCCCTGTGAAACATCAAGGCAGTTCTTCCCAGTTTTGACTTGTCTGATGCAGGAATCTTGTGCACCTTGCCAACCAAAATTACAAATCTTTTTGCCAGTTTCATCTATATTTTCCTACAAAGGTGTAAACACATTCTGCTATCCCTACAGAACAAATCTGATGTGACATGGGGCAGTGATTAGATGAGTGCAAGGAATTGTATGGATCATGTACAAAAACAAGTGTGACAAAGCCTGCTGAATGTCATTCTCAGGGTGCACTTTCCTGCACATCTGAGCTTTGAGTAAGTTGTGGCTTGTTTTCACTAGTGGCCTTCTTTTTCAGGATTTCTTTAATTTCAGCTTCTTTTTGATCAACAAATTTGATCAGGCCTTGAAGGCTGCAGCTGTCGGATGGCCCGGGCTCAGGCGTAGCAGGGATCTCCTGTTCCCTAGCCTCGGGTGTATACCTGCGATACTGCCAGCACACCCTGCAGGAAAACAACAGAAGAGCAATGAAGCAAGCCACACCGCAGATCAGAAACAGGCCCCAGAAACTCTTGAGGGAAAGCCGGTTGTCATCAATTTGGTTGTCTTGGATCGCGCAATCATCTCTGGGGAGCCATTTGTCGTGGATTTTTTGGAGTTCTCTTTTCTCAGAGAGTTGCAGGATTGCAGTTGACATATCTACAGCCAGAGGGGAGTCTCTTTGAAATGCCTGGGAAACCAAAACCGAAAGGTCAGTTATAAATTGTTGACAGAACTCATCTGCAATATGAAGCTTGGTGACTTACAAAGCCCCATCCACTCTTGGTGAACTCCTGCCCAACAATCCTGTAATTGCAGTTGGTGCTGGACAAGAAAACCTCAATGTAAGGTAGCTCATCAACTATGGCAGCAACCCCGCCCCCTCGTGGACCTCTGTTGAGGGCTTGGATATACTCGTCTTGAGTTTTCAGTATGCGCAGCCGGGACTCTGCAACATTCATCTCTTCAATGAGATATCTGTATGCAAAAGATCCATCCTGGATTCCTATGGGATCAGAGCTCGATATCAAACTGTCAATCCCTTGAATCCCTGTTGCGAGTTGCTGCACTGTGAGGATCGATGTCAAGCTAGCTGTATAACTCGAGTTTATGATTAAAACCACAAAGAGCCACAGAATCAGCACCAAACGTCCTAGAGTGCCCACCGTGTTCTCCCCTGCATTCAAGCATGAGTTCTCATTAGTCTTCACAGTTGATGATTAGAAAACTGCAACTAAATCAAGCAGAAGATGATGGACAAACAGATGGGATTCACTTACTGTGTGAGAAGAACATTGTTGACAAACTAAACCTGCGTGCAAATGCAGAAGTATTACTCAAAAAGGGAAATTTCAATGCAAAAGTACAATGCTGTGAAGATCTTTAGCTTCTGAGTTGAGTAATGACAGGTATAAGCAAGCCAAGAGATGCTAACCAGAAGACTGTAACAATTTGCTGGCTAGGTGGACCACGAAACTCATGGTTGATCCGATGCTCAAGAATCCAAACAACAGCTCCAACGAAGAAAAAGAAAAGGCCGGTGACACACCACATTTCCACTGTAAATGGCTGGAGGAATGCCCACGGACTGGATTTACTCTCTTTGACAAGCACAACTACAACTAGTCCAGATTCCATAAAAGGTTGCGTGAAGTCCACAATCCTAGTCCGGTTCATAGTTATGGTAATATCCCCAACACCTGCATCATATTTCTAAGTAGCAAGGTGAAAATCAGTAAATACCATGCTGTTTATGTGTGGAACACAAGGAAAAGTATTAACTAGAAAATTGAAGATGAAGTAGCAGTACTTACATTTTGTGCAACGTCGTTCACAAGGTTGTTGAAGTAGGGGTTCCTTTTGCCATCTCCATACAGAACATAGACATGAGGAACAGGGTAAGGCAGCAACTCTATAGCAGCTTCAAATATGTCAATGCAGTATCCCTTCACCCCTAAAGGTCCATCATCTTTACTTACAAACTCTTGAAATGTGACGCGAAATGGCACTGCGATATGCAATGGATTCCCGTTGTCAGGGAATACCCACCCTCGAGGCAGTGCTGTAGTTTTCCCAGGCCATGTAGGACTGTCCAGATGCTGATTGCTGGTTGAAGTGTTTGGAGGTTTCGCGTATAGAATCTCTGGAGCAACTACCGAGAGGCCAGTATAGTTCGACCAGTAGCCTAGCATGCGCGATCCATTCCCAGCAATGTTGAGGATATCGAATGCAGGATGAATCAGGTTCTTCTCTGCATCAAACTGAACCTGACCAGTAAGACCTGTGAAGTTCACTCTGGTAAGGATGTCAAGCAACTTCTGGCCTTGATCAAAGATGTTGAGAGATGTCAAGTGGAGGGCACTGCCTTTGGTATTACTCAATCTGGGGTCACTCGAAAAGGTCACACTTCCACCTTCACTGAAGAAAACATCAAGAGCTCTTGCAAGTAGCCACACTGAGTCATAAGCATAGAGAGCAAACGAATTAAACCCCGAGGCTTCTTTCTCACTGAAACTTCTCCATCGCGATGCAAACTTTTTCTTCTGATCCGAATCAGGCGTGTGATGGCGAAGAGCAACTACCCCGCGGAGGAGATCCATTGTCTCGAGATTGACTGTTTGTGAAGAGTCTAAAACAGAAGGAAGCCAATCTGTAGCAATCCAGACATAGCCACTTGATATCATATTCAGACTCTTTGCTTCCGAGAAAAGATTTAGCCCAGAATCGGGATTTACATGCACCACATAAACTCGCGATTCCATCATGTTCACATTGAACAACAAGGTATTGATATCTTCTCTGGTGGCTCCGGGGGCTAAGGCTGCCTTGTAAGAAATCTTGGCACGTTTCGCAGCAAGAGCATCACCCAGAACAGATATCCCATTTCTTCCGTTATCATCATCAACAAATATGGCAATCACCTCCTTCCATCCAAAGTAACCTATGAGATCAGCCACAGCCAGCATTTGGAAGCGATCATTCGTGACAGTGCGCAGAAAGAAAGGGTTCTGCAGAGAATTGAGGCTCGGGTCTGTTGCCCCAAATGATAAAAGCGGGACTTGAAGCTCATTCACTATATGCGATATTACATGCGCTATTCCTGAGGATTGCGGCCCAATTGCAGCAACTATGTTGCTTTCCATCACCTGCAGAGCTACAAAAAACACAGCATGATGAGAACAAAATCTTTTGCAGATAGAATAAGACGGGACCAAAACTGGACAAGAAGATGGATAAAGCATCGCATCATAGCAGAGCAGGTAAAGAAATACCATCAATCATTCCAATGAATCCACTGCAATTAGTATCATGCATTATGACGTTCAGCTTAGTGCCATTGAGAATGGTCGAATCAGAATTGACATCATCCACTGCAGCTTCCAGGGCAGGCTTCACAGACTCGCCAATAACCGAATGGACTGTGAACATAACCCCAACGTTCACCTCCTTCGGCCTAGAAGACGAAGGAACAGTGTCGTTTTCATTCCCTCCAAGGACTGCCAGAGGCACCCATATGCAAGAAATGGCCAACAGAAAGGCTCTCCTCAGCCATACATGGACCCCCATCTCTCTACTAGCTAGCAGCCAACTACTGGCCTTTTTGAGGAGAAATCCACATCACCATATCTTCAAGAAATCAAGCCCCTGCTAAAAGACATATCTTGTAAGTAAAACTCAAAGCTCAAATCCATGTTAAAAAGTTTTTGATTCTTTTGAATACCAACAATTCAAGAATTTCAAGAAGACAACTTCCAAATTTCAAGATTTTTTTTTTTTTTTTTTTTTGAAGAGAAACTCACATCACCATGTCTGCAAGAAAACAAGCTCCACCTAACAAACAGATGAAGAAGATAAAAGCTTAAAGCTGAAATTCAAGTTTAAAATTTCAACACTAGCTGAGCCCACCCAAAGAATCTTGAATGAAGAGAGAGTTTTCATGACTTTCACATGTTATGAATAGGGCAGTTTTCTATCTCTCTCTCTCTCTCTCTCTCTCTCTCTCTCTCTCTTAAACCATTCAAATTCCACACCAAAAAAATCCAATAGGGGAACTATAGCACAAGACAACAAAAGTACAATAATTCCAACCTCAGAAAAAAAAAAAAAAAAAAAAAAAATCCTAGCCAGCCAATGCCAAAACTCACAACATTCCAAATATAACTAGATTACACTATAGGCCTATATATGGTTGTATGAATAACCATTAACATTAACAATATCTACAAACAATGTATAAACATTAATCCATGAAATTGCTTTGGGCTCACCATACACACTGCACTATCCAAGCTTCAAAGGGCTGAGCAGTATAACAATATTAAAAATACTTATGACAAGTGCACATCAAAAGATTGCCTAAAAACAGTACTTTTTTAATAGAATGGCAAAGTTTAAGATATTCATGCATGTAAATGGCATCAGGCATCTTATATAATTAAGAAAATGTAAGATGCAATTCTTTTTCTTCTTTGGGTGTGTTAGAACAGTCTTGCAAGCTCAGTAAAGAATGATTCTTGCCTAGATAGTTGCCTAGCCCTCTTTTAATTAGTTAATTAAGTTTCTTATTCTCACTTTACAGTTCTACAATCTTGCAGCTTTTATCACCCAAAAGATGAGATTGCATTATATATTATTTATACAATCCATTTTCATATTGGAATTTTTTTTTAAAAAAAATTGAATGTGATTTTTTATATAACTCAGGTTTTCTGGTTTTGCAGAACTATATCTTAGACCCCATTAACCCGACCTAGGCTCATGAGGAGGTAAATCGAACCAATTTAACTTTGATACTCAACTCTAAACTGTTCACTTCTATGCATAAGGAGCTTAACCTAAATCCAAATTTCCCATGTTTGTGGCAGTAAATTTTATTCCAACAATCATGTATTTGGGTTTGCATTCCAATATTTTATCTATGAAAAAAATTCTCAAGTCTCACTTCATACATTTATAAGACGATTGTAATAAATATTTATATACCAAATTTGATGGTGAACCATGTTTCCTTTATTTATTTATTTATTTATTTTTTGAAGGATGTCAGGATGGGGGTGAGGGTGGGGGTTAGGAAATGCTTATAGCCTGATAGTCTCAATTAGACAAATGCCATCTTAGTAATATACTTTAATTGATTAATGGAAATCAATATATCTCTTAATTTAACATTTATCAATACATCATGTTAGATACAATTTATTTCTTTTTTTCTCTTTTTGTTGTTGTTGTTGTTGTTGTTGTTGTTGTTGTTGTTTGGAGTTATACTATACTAACTTATGATACGCTGAAAAGGAAATGAATAATCAAAGTGCTTAAAGTAAATAGAAATACACTTGCTATTTTCTTTCATTAATTAGTGGGAAATAATAACTGTACTCTTAAAAGTAAAATTGTCACCATATATTCTAATATTATTAAAGAAATAAAATAAAAGGAATAAACAATGTGACCCACTTTTTCTGAATTTATTAGAGTATGTTACGATTAATTGTCAAGAAAAAATTATTTTCTTCAACAATTCCTTAAAGCTTGAATTCTTAACTTTCATTAGGTGGGGGTGAAGGCGGGAGGGAATTTTTTTTTTCTTAAAGTTTCAATTCTATATTTCCTTTGAAGTTTTTAACCTTTTTTTTTTTAAATGACAAAAGAAATCTATAATCACTACTTTAAAATATACACTAAATAAATTTTATTTTTATATAATAACTTACTTTTTTGCATTTCTTTTTTAACCAAACGGATGGTTAGTGGAGTATTATTGTCGTCATGTTGAGAATAAAGAACGATGTGTGAATGGGCAGGACGTAGCTTTCATCAGATTGGTGTTGTGTGGGGCCCAAAGGTGCTTGTGAAGCACGTGGATTGGCTAATGCCTACCAAGGATGTGTATTTGTTAATGGAAAATGTTTTATTTGCCTCCTAGATTTCACATTCTATATTTTTCCTAACATTCATTCGGTGCCATAAATTAATTGACATTACCACTAATTCAAAATAGAATTTAATTATCAATTAGATATTGCCACATCATGAGAGATTGATGGGAAAGAAAAAAATATTAAGGGCCTTTAGTATTACACTTTTTTAATTAAGTTTCTTAGTTTCACTGCACTATATTTTGAACCTCATAAATTTGTCATTATTATACAATTGACTGTGGTCCACATTGTAAGATAAACCACTAAACGTTCATTTTTTAATGAGCAATGCTATAACACCCTCCTTTATTTTTCCTACAAACATCCCTTCCTGAGGTGGCATCACCTTATTGGTAGTTAAATTTAATTTTTAATTAGTAGTAGGATAACCAATTCATTGCCCAATGAATGAGTGCCACATCATGAGGGAAAGGTTTGGAGGGGGAAATCAGGATTTTCCTCTCTCTCTCTCTCTCTCTCTCTCTCTCTCTCTCTATATATATATATATATATATATATATATATATATATATATATATATATATATATATATATATATATATATATGTTTAGACTCTGGTGCGGAGAAGGCCTCAGGTGTAAAAGTGAGGAGAAATATGAGTCTTTGATCTATCCAGATCAATGACTCTAAAACAAAAAAAAAAAAAATGAAAAAAATAGCGATTCTAATCTACATGACACCATCATATCAGGTCAATGGCCCTAAATTGTCTCGACCATCATATCTGGTCAACTTTGACCAAGTTTGGCAGTAGAGGTACTACTCCCTCCTCATTGAGGAGGAAGTTGCCTCATTCGTCTCGACTAGGTTGGAGAAAGTTTTGCCTCTTCCGTCATTATTTAGTATACTATCAAATAATGTACCTTCAAAAAATAAACATTCAATGCATTAAAAATGTACTTTTAATGTGTATGTTTTAAAAAAATACTTTTAGTTATCCACTTTATATAAAGTGGACCATGCATGGTCCATGATATAATGATTGAGTGATTACCAATCTAACTATCTTACTAACTTGACTAGGTTATTTTCATATTTTGACATATATAATTTGTGAATATAAACTTATTCAAATTAATTAGGTAAATTAAAACCAAATAAAAATTGTATAAGAAATAATTATAACTAATAAATTATTTTTTAAAAAATATACTACTAATAGTATGTAAATAACCTCGGATACTAACAGCAAATTTTCTTGTCACAAAAAAAAAAAAAATGGTTGCCTCAATTTCGTTTCTTTTTACTTTTTTTTTTTTAAAGGGGGGTGGGGGGTAAGGATTTGCTCTTTTTGGTAAAAAAATAATATTTAATATACACATTGAATGTTACTCCGTACAATACTACTTTATAAATGTATCAAGCAAGTCAATGACAAGATATATTGTAAAAGCAATTATTTGTATAAAGGACCAATTGTAAAAGGATTTTACCTTATTGAATAAATTGTGTATTTCTAGCATGATATATAGATATTTGATACTTGTATTACATACACACACAAGAAAATATTCTTTACCTCTATTAACCCATCTTTGCCTTCTTTAAAGTTCTTGACATGATTAGCCATAAGTACACAAAAGAAAAAAACATACACTACAAGTCTACAACACAAACAAACAAAAACAAAAAAGAAGTTGAGTGGCATGACCAACAAATTATTTGTATAGCGGTCCTGTATTGACTGGGTGAATTAAAAAGAACAAAAGATATGATAGATGAACTTCTAACATGATTAGTTGGCACGTATGAATCCCACTAACAAGTGACTTAACTAGTGAAACTCGTTATTACTATATATCTCTCATTCCAAGTAATATTGATATATATAGGATGCCGTGTTGACAAAGGTTTGAAATTAAAGGTCGATATCAATAACTTGTCATTCAAATATGGCATTGGTTTCTGTGTAGTATAGAAAATAAAATTATTTATTTGCTACTAGTTACAACTTTGATATAAAGTAATAGTAAACGCTTGATCTTAATAATTGTTATCAAAGCAGCAACTTTTAAACAAGAAAATTATAAGCATATTACTCCTTAATCCTTATGTTATCAAGGAATAGGGTTCGGATTAGGTGAGGACGTGAGGACTAATCTAGACCATTAAATCAGAATGATGTATGACTGAGATTGAAAGGAACAAATCACACGGATTAAGGAAACAAATCACTTTAAAATATATAAATTTATGGGTAAATTAGTCTTATTAGAAGATGTGCATTCCTATACAAAATGTTGCGGATTCCTATACAGAGTGTTGTGCATCGATAACTTTCTTGTTGTGCATTCAAATCCCGCCAAAAAATCCTACAGTGGACATCCCAATGTCCTACGATGCACTGACTATGTGCACTAATGCACAACTCTCCAGCTTACGGTGCACAACTTACAACACTAGGTTGCATAATCAGCACACACGAATGCACAATCATACTACTCAGGCATTTGTACATATACACGATCATCCAAATATAGACAATATTATACTCAAAAGAACGAGTGAAAAAAAATAAAACATACTGATTAGTTTGCATGGGCGAACACTCAATCAATGATGAAGAAATCGCGGCTCCAAATTGCAACGGTGATGGTCCAAGAAAATAGGAAACCAATTTGACTCAGGATTATACATACATGCGTTCACACTTAAAAAAAAAAATAGAAAAACACACTACTACCGAACTTTAACAAAAAAATCAATCCATGTCATCTTAAATCTGGGCCATCCAAATAAAAAAAAAAAAAAAAAAAAAAAAACAAACGCACAAGATTAGTCCTCACGCCCTCACCTAAGAATGAGTCCTCACCTGATCGGGACCCTCTAATATATATATATATATATATATATATATATATATATATATATATATATATATATATATATATATATATATATATATATATGCCTGTGTGTGTTGAAAATTACTTCCATTGTCCCCAAAGTTGCAAAAGTCACTAGCCGTTCCTCGGACATCTAGGGGCGCCTAGGCACCCTTTTTTTAAAAAAAAATTAAAGATTTTAATATATA